GCCATAACTCACGTACGTGTAAAAAGGATACCTAGAGTACTACTTAGTCTACTCCATAATTACCTATAAGCTCGGCTACCTAGTGTTCGGCCACCCCTAGTGTTCGGCCACCTCATCAATGCAACCAACTCAATTTGGAGTCGCAATTTCTCAACCACCACGCTTAGAATTGAATTATTGTACACATAGACTCAAGGCTGCAGGCTTCTGCCGCCTTGGCTGCAATCTCAGCTGCTTTTTCTGGTGTTGAGGCAGCGTTTTCTCTCGCTTGAGCCGCCACGCGATCATGAGCAGCCTTGATGTCCTCTATGTTGCTGAAGCGCTTATTTGGGTCTATTTGAACGCGCTTTCTCGGCTGTGTACTCTTAGTACTATCTAGTAGATATTTGAGTTGTTAATTCTCTGCCTGAAGCCCAGCTAACCTGGCGTTAGTGAGAGTAATTGCCTTGGCTGCTTTGCTAAGCACCAACCGGGTACCTCGCGAGAGGTTCTCTGATTCCAGCAACCTCTTCTGCGTGCGCAATAGGTGCTGGGCGCTTTGTGGTGTCTTAAATACTGCCTCTAAGGTTGCTCCACGTTGATTAGCTGGTGGTGGAGTACTTGGGCGTCCAGATATCTGAGATGAGTTGAGAACCAGTGAAGGCCTATACGGTACCAGCCCAGCAGCCTTCCAGCTGGCTCTAATTACTCTCTTATTGAAGCTCTCCTCTCGCGCTTTGTTGTAGCAGACAACAAAGCGCTCTTTCTTAACTGGTGCTGCGTCATCAAGCGCAGAGAGCGCGCTGATCTCCTGGCGATAGCGCGACTTTAGTACTGAGAAAGCAGCAAGGTCTAGCGGCTGAAGAAGGTGTGATGAGTGTGCAGGTAGGTAGAGAAGGTGTATCTTATTCTCTCTGCACTCCCACATGAAGTCAATAGGGATATAGGAGCTGTGGCCATCAAGAATAAGCAGCCGGTGGCCGCTCTGTGATAGTGAGGTATTTGGTATAAAAATACGCCGTAACCACTCTAAACCTATAGCGTTTGAAGTCTATCTATTTGTTAAGGTTGTGTATAGCTAGTCTAGTGTATTGATTAAGGGAATCCACGTGGTTTAGAGGTGTACGCCTTTGAAGATAACAAGGCACTGCAGCTTTGTGCCAACAGCGTTAATACACTCTATAATAGAGACCCACTTGCGCGATTCTGGTGAGCCTTTGTAAGCCTTCTTCTTACGCGCATCTGCAAGGACTTAGTAGTTAGTACATACACTAAGTGCAACGCCAGTCTTATCTATATTCTACATATTCTTACACTGTATGCCTAGCTCCCTTGTGATGCAATTAAAGTAATTAAGCCACTCTTTAATAGTGTTGTAATTGGCTGCAGTAGTGCGCGCACTCTCAATTTTCCTGCTAACTACTAATGCAACGCGTGGCTGCCGTGCAAGAAAGTGAGGTATCCATTGTTTGCTAAGTAGTTGGGTATCGCCGTTCATACGCAGGATTTGAGTGGCTATCTCACGTACGCGAGCGTGAGATGGAGGCTGTGCGCGTGTATCCTTGTCAAGAATCCACTCCACAAGGAATTCCTCTTGCTCTGGAGTCAATTGCTGCTCGTGGTGGTGAGCTATCGCGTTAGGGACGCGGCCATTGAGGCGCTCTTGGAGCGACGATTAGGGAACGCCCCACTTCTTACAGACTGCACGCTGGCTTTTTTCAACACCAGAATTAAGATCAGCGATAGCAGATTGTATAGCAGTCTCACGGGTGTCCATTTTGAGCAGGTGGTGGTGGAGAAAATACGCGTTGATTGAATGTGACGTGGAGTTGGTGGGTGGCCGAACACTAGGGGTTGCCGAACACTAGGTAGCCGAGCTTAACGTGGTTCACAAGCGAGTCGCCCACCCAAGTGAGTCGCCCACTAAACACCCGCGCCCCGCCTGCGCAGCAACAACGCGTAATGCCACAACAACGCAACATGCAAAAGACCTATACTAAAGGAGATATATTTATTGCTATCTCTGATATTAAGTCTAAGCAGATACAGAGCGAAAGACGCGCTGCAGCAGTCTATAACATCCCACAAACAACAATCTAAGACTAACGCGCTAGACAACGCCCTCAACACAACTGCAAGCTAAAATTAAAGCGCCTTACAAAGCTAGAAGAGGAGGCAATTATACAGCGTATACTTGAAGAGAGTCTACGTGGAATACTGCCCTTAAAGGCGCATGTACAAGATATAGCTAATAGACTGCTAAGGGAGCATGGTGGGAAGCCTACAGGCAAGAACTAGGTTAATAACTTTATTAAGCGTACACTAGAGCTGCGCACGCGATAGAGCTGTCTGTACAATTACTAGTAAGCTGCCTACAAAGACCTAGCGCTTATCTAGCCCTAGTTCAGCCTAGTTTAATTAATAAAGACAAAGTATAGTGTTATAGATAAGGACACCTAGAACTTTAATAAGTCTAGCTTTATAATAGGCAAGATATCCTCTTAGCTTATTATTACAGGCTTAGAGAAACCTAGGAAATAGAAGAAACTACAGCCTAGCAATTGCAAGTAGGTTACCCTAGTATAAGGTGTTACTATAATAGGGTGTATTATCCTACCCTTCCTTATCTTTACAGGTAAGGTCCTAATCTCCTCCTAGTTTACTAGTCTACCTTATAACTAGGTTGTCACAGTCTCTCCTACTAGCTAGACTAATAACAATATTGCAATAGCATAGCTTAAGCACTTTAACGCCTATACAAAGGTGACCTCTGCTAGGGCATATAGGCTGCTTATTATTAACAGCCATAAGAGCCACTGCTCAATAGAATTCCAGGACTACTGCAAGGAGAACAAGATTATCACTCTCTGCATGCCACCACACTCATCGCACCTCCTGCAGCCTCTTGACGTTGTCCCATACTTGCTGTTGAAGCGCCACTATGGCGACAGGATCTCGCTCTTAGCACGCAGCTACATCTACTATATTAACAAAGAAACCTTCCTACTAGCCTTTAAAGTAGCTTTTAAGAGGATGTTTACACTAGAGAATGTTCGCGCAGGGTTTTAAGGCGCTAGGCTAGCCCTGTATAACCCTAAGGTTGTGTTATTAAAGCTTGATGTACAGCTACGTACGCCAACGCCACCTGCACCAGGCACTGTCGCCTAGGAGGCGCAAACACCACGCAACGCCTGCAAGATAGAGGCGCAGTTAACGCTAATCTAAAATCGCATGCAAAATTATTGTGGGTTACTAGCAAGTTTATTAGATAAGCAGGTTAAGTAGTTAAGTAAAGGCGCTTAATAGATAGCTTATAATATAGTATTAGTATAGGAGGAAATAGGCCACCTATAAGACGCTGTTACTACGCTTATAAAGCGCAAGACCTGTAAAAGGTAGTATGTACACATAGAGGAGACTCTAACAGTTAGTAAGGTATCTAACCTAGTTACTAAAAAGGAGGGTAGTAGTTGTAAGGAGGGCAAGACGCCTGCAAAGAGGGTGCGCGCAGAGAGGCGCTGCAGCTATTGCAGCGAAATTGGGCACAACTCCTGCACCTGTAAGGTAGAAATTAAGGACATAGATAATAGCAATGCTTCTAAATAATATTATAATGTTATGTGTAGTATTGTAATTTATTGTAGTGCTGCGCTGCACTGCTGCGTAGGCGCGGCGCGGGTGTTTGGTGGACGACTCACTTGGGTGGGCGACTCGCTTGTGAACCACGTTATATTATATTATCACGTTGTTGAGTTGCAGGGCTTTGAGGTGCGCAAGTTTGGTAGGGTGCGGCGCTCGCTTGTACGCGGCGCTCGCTTGTAAAACACGTTAAGGGAAATAAACTAACGTATTCCATCATCGAGTGGATCAACTCATTGAGTGGATTAGTTTCTGCCAAGTCTACTCACTCCCTCATTAACGCAATATGTCTTAACAACAAAACACGCAATTATCTAACGTGTTTTACAAGCGAGTGGCCCATACAAGCGAATGGCCCACCCTACCAACTTTCTATAACGTGTGAACTTTAATTAGCTATGGCTCCCCCTAACTAAGCCAGCAAGGCCTCCTGTGAGGCTAATATACACCTTGCAATCTCAGCTATTAAGCAGGATTAGATATTAACTGTCAGATCTGCTGCCTAGACGTTCAAAGTCCCCAGAACTACCCTCCAACGCTGACGCGCTGGCGCGCCTGCCAGACGCGATTGCCAGCCCAACTTAAAGAAGCTCACTGTACTTGAAGAGGAGGTGATAGTCAGCTATATCCTTGATCTAGATTAAAGTGGATTTGCGCCTACGTACGCAGCTGTACGTGATATGGCTGATAAGCTGCTCGCTGCGCGCGGCGCAGGTTAGGTTGGCGTCCACTAGCTGCGCAACTTTGTTAAGCGTACAGACAGTCTTATAACACGTTTTAATTAAGCATATAATAGGCAGAGAGCCCTATGTAAGGATCCTATATTAATTAGGAGCTAGTTTAAGCTTCTAGCGCAGACAAAGGCTAAATACAACATCTATAACAAGGACGTCTACAACTTTAACAAGGTACGCTTTATAATAGGCAAGATTATAACTTAGCTTGTTGTAACAGGATTAGAGAGGAGAGGCAGGCTAAAGGCTATCTAGCCAGGCAATCGTGAGTGGGTGACGTTGATTGCTGCAATTAACGCAGCTGGCTGGTCAATCCCACCATTCCTTATCTTTGCTAGCAAGTACTATCTCTCTGCCTAGTATAAGGAGGATATCCTACGTAA